AGAAGGGGATGACAGAGGATGAGATGGCTGGATGGCATCATCGACTCAATGGGCATGAGTTTGAGTAATCTCCGGAGGTTGGTGATGGGCAGGGAGGCCTGGCGTGCTGTGATTCATGGGGTCGCAAAGAGTCGGACATGACTGAGTGACTGAACTGAACTGAAAATCACTGCAGATGTTGACTGTAGCCATGAAATTAAAAGACGCTTACTCCTTGGAAGAAAAGTTATGACCAGCCTAGACAGCATATTAAAAAGCAGAGATGTTACTTTGCCAACAAAGGTCCGTCTAGTCAAGGCTATGATTTTCCCAGTAGTCATGTATGGATGTGAGAGTTGGACTATAAAGAAAGCTGGGCACTGAAGAATTGATGCTTTTGAACTGTGGTGTTGGAGAAGACTTTTGAGAGTCCCTTGGACTGCCAGAAGATCCAACTAGTCCATCCTAAAGGAAATCAGTCCTGAATACTCATTGGAAGGACTGATGCTGAAGCTGAAACTCCAGTACTTTGGCCACCTGATTCAAAGAACTGACTCATTTAAAAAGACCCTGATGGTGGGAAAGATTGAAGGCAGGAGGAGAAGAGGATGGGTGAGGAGAGAGGAGAGATGGTTTGTTGGCATCACTGATTCAATTGACATGAGTTTGAGTAAACTCCAGGAGTTGGTGATGGACAGGGAGGTCTGGCATGCTGCAGTCCATGGGGTTGCAAAGAGTCAGATATCACTGAGTGGCTGAACACAACAAAAAATTTTTTTTTTAAAAAGCAGTGACTTTTAAGCTTGATCAGGTTTGAGAATTATCAGGAGGCCTTGTAAGACCCAGACTTCTGGCCCCCACCTCCAGAATTTCTCTGTCAGGAGGTCTGGGTTAGGATTCTGGAAGTTGCATTTCTAACTGGTTCCCAAACAGTGCAGATGCTGTTGGTCCAGGACAAGTTGATCTAAAGTAAGCCCTGACACTTATCTTCTACCAAATTTTATTCTCCCATTTTCTTGAATAACCCCACAGAGCGATTCCATTTGTATGGTTTTGTCAGGTGGCCTTGAACTGAGGTTAAAGGAAAAAAAACAATTTGGGTTATTTTGTAGCCATGTGCTAGTTATTGACCAGATTTTTCACGTTGGTGATTTTCCTTTTGCCAGTTAGCCCATGGAGTTATAGGCTGCGTCTCCTAGCATTAGTTCAGAATAAGAATAAAGATAGTATGAATGAAAACAGCACTTAGATCATATGTTAACAGAGGGATGTGTACAGGTAAAGCATTTTACTCATGCCATTGGCCTTGTGTGAAAAACTCTGTGAAGTGAAGAATTTAACATTGTCCCTTGGATTTCTGCTTTTTCCCCTCACCTGCTCTGACTAGGAAAATAATTGTAACTTTAGTCTGAATGGGAATGTAGCAGCCAGGTCTTTCTGACTTCTAGATAGCTTCTGTAGTCTGGCCAAACTATCTGGCTTTCTGATTACACAGTTTTTATGAAGAGGGAAAAAATATTTTCGTAGGAATCCTTTTTAAATTATTTTCTCCTCTCATGATGAAAGGCTTATCTAAAAGTTGGCACGTCATTCAGGATTGTCTCCCACTTTTTGGTCATTCCCATTCTTCCCTGACGCCACCCACCCCTTAGACAGCCAGGGATTTAAAAGTATGTTGGAAGATTTTGATGGTGTCTGCAGAGTTGAATTACATTCTTCTATATAACATCGGACACCAAGCAGAAAGATAGCACAGTCTGTCTAGCTCTTTGTAATTAGTTTCACGATATTGTTTTAATTGTGGCACAGCTTAATCACTGGCTATGAACAGATTATGCCACATGGTTAAAATAATTATGGGGATTTGATAAGGTAATGCTTTGAATTCATATAATGTTTCTTTTCCAAAAAGCTCTACACTTTAAAAGGAGAGAGAGAGAGAGCAAAGAAGGACAGCCATTCAATTCCAGCTTTGGTTGTTTTTTTGCACCTTGCCAGGGCTGGTTGGTAATTATATATATATATATATATATATATATATAGATAGATAGATAGATAGATACACATAGTTATTTCAGGTCATAGTCTACTTGTCTAAGAAAGTATTTTATCCAGTACTCAAAGATTCTGAATATAGTGTGAAATGAATATAGCCTAGGCAAGCCTGTATGGATGCATTAGTTCTAAATCTAAACATTTGCTTGCAAAGCTGATGGCTACTGGCTCCATGAGCAGTTCTTTACTTTCAGAAGAGTGCAGTCTGGTCATAAACCTTTCTTAGAACTACCATACAATTTGTATGGTTTATTGAACCTTCATTCATTCCAAGTAGTATGCCTACTATGTGCTAGTCAGTAAGTTCAGTCACTCAGTCATACCCGACTCTTTGCAACCCCATGGACTGCAGCACACCTGGCTTCCCTGTCCACCACCAACTCCCAGAGCTTGCTCAGACTCATGTCCCTCGAGTAGGTGATGCCATCCAGCCATCTCATCCTCTGTTATCCCCTTCTCCTCCCACCTTCAATCTTTCCCAGCATCAGGGTCTTTTCCAATGAGTTGGCTCTTCGCATCAGGTGGCCTAAGTATTGGAGTTTCAGCCTTCAGCATCAGTCCTTCCAATGAATATTCAGGGTTGGTTTCCTTTAGGATTGACTGGTTTGATCTCCTTTCAGTCCAAGGGATGCTCAAGAGTCTTCTCCAACACCACAGTTCAAAAGCATCACTTCTTCAGCACTCGACTTTCTTTATGGGCTCAGTCAGTAAAGAGTCTGCCTGCAATACGGGAGACCTGGGTTTGATTCCTGGATCGGGAAGATCTCCTGGAGAAGGAAATGGCAACTCACTCCTATGTTTTTGCCTGGAGAATTCCAAGGACAGAGGACAGGGCTACAGGCCATGGGGTCACAAAGAGTCAGACATGACTGAGTGACTTTCACTTCACATCTTTCTTTATGGTTCAACTCTCACATTCATACATGACCACTGGAAAAAACATAGCTTTGACTAGACAGAACTTTATTGGTAAACTAATGTCTCTGCTTTTTAATATGCTGTCTAGGTTTGCCATAGCTTTTCTTCTAAGGATCAGTGTCTTTTAATTTCACGGCTGAAATCACCATCTGCAGTGATTTTGGAGCCCAAGAAAATAATTTCTGTCACTGTTTCCATTGTTTCCCCATCTATTTGCTATAAAGTGATGGGACTGGATGCCATGATCTTTGTTTTTTAAATGTTGAGTTTTAAGCCAGCTTTTTCACTCTCCTCTTTCACTTTCATCAAAAGGCTCCTTAGTTCTTCTTTACTTTATGCCATAAAGGTGGTGTCATCTGCATATCTGAGGTTATTGATATTTCTGCCTGCAATCTTGGTTTCAGCTTGTGCTTCATCCAGTCTGGCATTTTGCATGATGTACTCTGCATATAAGCTAAATAAGCAGGGTGACAATATACAGCCTTGACGTACTCCTTTCCCAATTTGGAACTAGTCTATTGTTGCATATGCCATTCTGTTACTTTCTTTTTTTGTCAGTATTTAAATAAACTTAATAGGACCAAGCCCATATTCCTCAATGTTAAACTAAATCTTGAGAACAAACTGAACATTTAAAGCTGTTAAAAACAGGTTCTACATCTTATTAAAAAAAAAAATCAACTCAAACCCCTTCAATTAAGGCATTTGATGAATGTTATAGTGAATGTTTGTTAACTTGAGCAGAATATAAAGGTTGTTTAAAGTGTTCCCTTTAATACAACAAATACAAAACCTTGTGAGATCATACCTCTATAATTTCATGTCTTTGAACAGGTGAAACTATGGTTACCAAACAGCTACTGTTGTCACAGTGTCTGATACAGGGTAACAGTAAATAGCTGTAGATGCAGAACAAGACACCCATTTATTTAGTCACAGTAGTGGATCTTACTCCTTATTTTATTTTAAATTTCATCTTTACTGTTCAGATTCTCCAGGCTTATGGATGTCATCAATCTTCAAAGTCATTCTAACCATTTGTGTTACAAGAGACATCAGCTGCTTTTTGCCTATCAAGATTTCTATGACATTTTGATGTTTCATATCATATGATGTTTCATATCATTGGATCCTGAGGGCGGGGTTCACCTCCTCACGTGTCTGGCCCAGACGTCAGTCATGGTCTGGATGGGCTTCATGCCACTGTTCTCCACGGACTCCATGGGGATGACCGCCAGTCCCTCGGCAAAGGTGTGCATGGCGTACTGCTCCAGGGCCGGGCACTGGTCGGCCTCCTGGCTGACCATCAGGGCGCAGGCCATCTCCGTAGCGCCCCTGCAATACACCATGCGGTTGTCCGGGATGAGGTTGCCGATGACACGCAGAGCATGGTGACGGGAACGCTTGGCCTCCTCTATGATCATCTTATTTCCTCCTCTGCTGAAAACGGTGATGGCTCTGGAGTTCTTACACTGCTTGATGACCAGCATCTTGTCTTTGGTGGTCCCAAACGAGATCTCTTTCACAAGACCTGCAAAGCCCAGCTTCTCAGCTGTGAGCTCTGAGAACCTAGGGGTGATGTGGCCACCTGTGGCAATGGGATCAACTCAATTTCAGATCCTCCAACCTAGTGAACCGCCGGCAGGTTATTCTGGAGAAGTTAATGATTAGCTTCATCATCAAAGCCCCACTGGCAAATAACTAGGTTAGCACCAGTTTCTTTTATGTGCTGGATCATCTCTTCAAACTTCTCCATTTCGCATTTCTGAAGGGCTTTAAAATCTGCCACAGATGTCACATCCAGCTTATGCTTCATCTTTGGTTTCGATGGCTCAAATGAACATGTGAGGATTGCAACCTTGGCATCTTCCACTTGCTTGGGCATCTGCGGGTGACTGAAGTGCTCGTCCACAATCAAGCCCTTGATTAGCTTGCTGTCCTCCAGCCACCCACGCACCTTGCCTTCTACCCTGATGAGCTGGACGTCAATGGGCCTGTGCTCCGTGTCGGCCACGGTGAGGACAGTGCACGGTGATCTCAGCCGTTTGTCAGTGATAGCTGTTAATTACTTTGGAGCCCAGCGTGGTCTTCGCTGTCTGGATCAGGGGCTCAGTGTTCTTCGTGTCGACAAGGACACTGTTGCTGATCTTGCCCAGGTGCTCAGTAATGATGCAGGTGGCCTGCTCCGGGCCGTCAGTGATCCTGATTGGGTGAATGTGGAGGTCCAGCAGCTGCTCAGCCATTTCCAACAGGACAACCACTCCTGTGGTTCCATCTCCAGTCTCATCATCCTGTGATTCGGATAGTTCAGCCATCAGCTTGGTGATCTGATGGTCAACATCCATCATGCTTAAGAGGGTGGCACTATCGTTGGTTACAGTCATGTCTCCATGCTTATTCACCATCATCTTATCAAGCCCATTTGGTCCAAGTGATGTTTTCATTGTATTTGCTACAGCCTTTGCTGCCATCATATGAGATTTGAGGGCCTCAAGTACCATAAGATGAGACTTGCATTCCTGATCCTTGATGATGAGGAAAGGACCGCCATAATTGTCGAGGTTGAGGGTCCCCATGGACCCCATGATGCAGTAGCAAGAGTTACTCTCCCTCAATGGCGGAGACCACCCCAGAACCCAGAGCCCACCTTCCTCTTCAGGGCTATCTGTTGCTTCTTGATCTGCATACAGGTTTTTCAGGAGGCAGGTAAGGTGGTCTGGTACTCTCATCTCTTTAAAAATTTTCCACAATTTGTTGTGATCCACATAGTTAAAGGCTATGTGCCAAGTGCTGTTCTGAACTTATAGTGAACAAGTTAAGCAAAATTTCTACCCTCATGTCCCTGACATTCTAGATGTAGGTGAATTGACAATAAACAAACAATAAAGTAATGATTTCAGATATGATTAGTTCTATGAATAAAATAAAACACAGTTGGGGATCAGAGTGACTTGAGTTGGGAACTTTTAAATAGATTAGAATGTATCTTTCTCAGAATATGACACTGAACAGGGTCCTGATGGTGAGAAGGAATCAGACATGTGAAGGTGTGGGAAGGGAATTTTAGGCATAAGGAAGAGAAAGTGTAAGGGGCTGAGTCTATGATGAGCTGAGTGGTTCTAGGAAACGCAGGTGGGGCAGAGGGGCTGGAGGAGAGTGAGTAAAGTGTAGACTTATTGGAGCTGAGATGACACAGAGGCTAGGTCAGGGGACTGTACCCCATGGCAACAACATTTAAATTTTAAGGTGATGGCAGGTCATGGAGGGTTCACATGGGCTGATTCACATTTTTGAAAGGTCATACTAGATGAGGAGATTAGACTAATAGGCAAAAACAGAAAGGAAATACTAAGGAATGCAAGCCTTTTTTTTTTTTTAAGACATGTTGAGTTTGACATAGGTATTATACATGCAAGTGTGGGGTCTAATTGGAGAAGGAAATGGCAACCCACTCCAGTATTCTTGCCTGAAGAATCCCATGGACAGAGGAGCCTGGCAGGCCACAGTCCATGGGGTCACAAAGAGTCAGACACAACTGAAGCGACTTAGCACACACATGGGGTCTAATAGATGGTTGAAAACGTAAATCTTAGTGCTTAGGAGATAGGGCACAGTTGGAGGTATCTATGTGGGAGTCCTCACTGTGTACATATAATCATTATGCTGGGCTTAGTTGCTCAGTCATGTCCACCTCTTTGTGACCCATTGGACTGTAGCCCACCAGCCTCCTCTGTCCAAGGGATTTTTCAGGCAAGAATACTGGAGTGGTTGCTATTTCCTTTTCCAGACGATCTTCCCCACCCCGGGATCGAATCCGTGTCTCCTGCATTGCAGGTGGATTCTTTACTGATGATCCATTGGAGAAGCCCTACCCTGAAAGAGATTTTTAAAATACTATCTTTTTTTCTGATGTGCACAATGAATAACAGAAGTTAACAGAGTGTGACTTGAATACAATTTTTATTTTCTCATTTGCTTGTTTAATAGCAACTAGATCCAAATTTAGGTCTTAAATAAGTCTTATCTTTCAAAGGAGCCAGGTGGGAGGGCTAGCCAATTGGGCCAACAAAGCCACCATTGCTTAAAACTTTCTTGGAGTGATTGGGGCTCCCTTTTAGATTTGCTTTTGCCTCACAAGAAAGCCTAACTTTTTTCATAGAATTATGTCTCATTTTTGATTGAAAAATAGAACCAACTTGGAAATTCATCTGCTGTTGTATTTATAACAAAGTTAAAAAAAAAAACCAAAACTGAATATTTCACCAGAGGGAGATGCCTTGATTCCACTGATGATTTTAAAATGACTTTGTCATTTGCTTTGGCAATTCTCAGAATGGTGTCTAAATATGTCTGGGTCAATAAGGAGATGATCGGAATAAGTACACAGTCTTCCAGGTGAGAAGTTTGAAGGAAATACTATTTATTTAGATTTGAAGTTTTAGCTTTATCCATTCATTCACTTATTCATTCATGAAAAAGTTTATCATCTGCCATATTCCTGGTGGTTTTTTAAGCAGTGAAAAGGCAGTTACAAACAATGAAAGGCGTAAAACAATGCTAGCTTTTAGAACTTCATCTTTGAACTGAAGGATACCTTAACCATCAAAAATCCCATTTTTACAAATGGCTCAATTAATCAATTTATTGAAACAAAAACATTCAAGTGAAGGAATAAAATTTAATGTGCTTGCTTTTGCCTTCCTCATCTGTTTTCTTCTTCCTGTCTTATTTCCAGAAACCTGCCTCTCAACCTCTGTGAGGTTATTTTTTTTTTTTTAAGTCTAGAGTGATCTGTTCCTTATGCTATAAATTTCCCCTCAGACACGGAACATCCTTTTACTTTTCTTTCTCCTCCCATTTTGTTACTAGAAGATGTTGATGAATCTCTGGGATAAGATTCTAATACATGAATTAATTCATAAGAGGTATAAATGATTTGATGCTAATTTACTACAGCCTGAATTTTTTTAAACAAAAAAACAAAACAGATTGAAGAAATGCATCTGTAAAAATGGAAATTAAAGAATTTGCAAGTAATAAAGTAATATATTTCTTGGTTGAGAGACTTCTCCATGTTTCTGAAATCACAGCTATATAGTTTATATTGCCAATCAGCATCTCTAGTAACAAGAAACTTTCAGTTTCCCCTGATGCTACTACCTTTTTTTTTTTTTCTTTTTGAGGGATATTCTGCAGCCCTCATGTGCCATGTAATATACTAGCAAGATATCATAATAGTTTTGCTAGAGTAAAGGGCCAAATTTTGCCTTGGCCTTTGTTTAGCTGGAAGGTGCCTACCCCTGAACTGGGGCTCTCCACCACCATAGCGCCTTCAGCCTCATGCAACATATTATTACAATCAGCTTTACTTGTTCCCAGGGCTTTCAGCATCTGTAGTGGCAGCTGGCACATCTCCCACTTCATCAGGAAGTGCATTCAAGGGTATCCGGCTAGAAAGTTCCCCCAGCAAGCACTTCTTCATATTGCAAAATGAAGAAGCAAGGTTTCAGTTGGAGGTATTCATATTTGGGGTCAAGTAAGGTAGAGGAAAGTTGGGGAGCTCTCCCATCACCACAGTATCTTCTTCATGGGTGAGAGCAGTAAAAAAAATCCACTCTTTTTCTTCTAGTAGACTGGCATTCCTTTGACCCCGGGTTTAATCAGAAAAAGGATGAGCAGAATTATGCGATTGGCACTGCCCTTGTTTGTTTTCCAAATTCTCAGAGAGAATTGCTCTCATACCATGGGTTTCCCTCAAGATCTACGTTTCTGATTTCCATGGTTCAGTTTTATGCAGAGTTTTCTGTTTTGCCTGTGAACACCCATATTTCTCTTTCCAGCAGTTAATAGGAAAATTCCATTGTGCCGAGTATAGCTTTGCTCTTCTTTCCTGTGAAAATAACCTCTATTGTTCTCCACCTGCTTTTACCTCCAGCCATCTGCACTAAATGTAATTGCATGTCAAAGAGGGTGGTGATGATGACCAGCATATGTCAGAAACACTTGAAAACTGTTCTGGATAATTAGAAAGAGCTATGGTTTAGGAAATTGAGCTGAAGTGAAAATAATGTGACCCAGAGATGTAACTCCTCTTCAACATTTTCTCTCTTTGAGAATAAGAGCTTTGGGACAACATTGCTCAAGATCATTCATTTTTATCTTTTAATTTATTAGTATGCCCAGTGTCTAGCCTGGAGTAGGAAATGGCAACCCATTTCAGTATTCTTGCCTGGAGATCCCATGGACAGAGGAGCTTAGAGGGCTATAGTTCATGGGGTTGCAGAGTCGGACATGACTGAGTGACTGAGCATGGCACTGGCGTCTTGTAATCAACATTAGAGCCAGAAGCACTGAGCCTTCAGGAGTCTTTGTTGGATACTGAAGTAGATGTATCTCCTGAAGAAAAATTAATTGAAGTTTGATATGTTTAAGGAAGCTAACAATTATTGAGTGCTTATTTTGTGCCAGGCAGTATGTTTAGAATTTTTGCACATATTATCTCATGTCATAAATTCTCAAAATTTCTGTTTATTCTAGTCATCCTTTGGTTTCTGTGGGGGATGGTTTCAGGACCCCTATTTTCCCCACTAAAATCTACAGATGCTCAAGTCCCTTGTATAAAATGGCATAGTATTTGCATACAATCTACATATAATCCTCATACACTTTAAATCATCTTTAGATTACTTATAATACCTAATAAAATATAAATACTATATAAATAGTTATAAATTCAATTTAAATTGCTATGTAAATAGTTGCCTATGTGTGGCAAATTCAAGTTTTGCTTTTTGGAAATTTCTGGAATTTTGGGGGGAATGTTTTTGATCTGCAGTTGAGTTAATCCATGGATATGGAACCTATAGATATGGAGGATGATTATAATTAGAATATAAATTTTATTTGGTTTTATTCAAATCTTATTTTTATTACTCTGGTATGAAATGTTACCTATGTAGTTTTGTGCTTGAGGGAAAATATGGTTAGTGTTTTAGAAGAGCAGTGGTGGTTGTAAATAATTTGGAATTAAACTTGTTCATGACATACACAAATAAATTCAAAGTACACTAACAAATTTAAATTACAGAATCAAGACTAGTTAACACAATAAGAGTGAAGTAAGTTCACAGGGCAGTTTCATGAATTTGGTACTATGGTAGTCATTAGGAATATGCCTCAATATTTCCAGGCAGTGCTCTTGTGCTATATAAGAGCAATCAGTCCTTATAGTTAGACTGCATTGATTCACATCTTTAAATTATATGTGGCCATGTCAAGGCTGTATATTGTTACCCTGCTTATTTAACTTATATGCAGGGTACATCATGAGAAACGCTAGGCTGGATGAAGCGCAAGCTGGTATCAAGATTTATGGGAGAAATATCAATAACCTCAGATATGCAGATGACACCACCCTTATGGCAGAAAGTGAAGAGGAACTAAAAAGCCTCTTGATGAAAGTGAAAGATGAGAGTCAAAAAGTTGGCTTAAAGCTTAACATTCAGAAAACTAAGATCATGGCATCTGGTCCCATCAACTCATGGGAAATAGATGGGGAGACAGTGGAAACAGTGTCAGACTTTAT